GTAGTTATATACAATTAGTCAAAAATCCCAAAGAGCATTTGCAGTTCATATCCAGAGGAGGATTCTTGGTATGTCTGATTGACTATCTAAGAGTTTAGCATATCAGCTTTTTCCTTAGATTCCTCCTGGAAGTATCAGAGAGAATTACACACTAACTTATAGTTCTTGGGATTTGTTCTCATTATTTAGAGGGAAAATGCCACAGCATGTGCAGGAAGGACAATGTTATGGTAGGACTATCACTAAACACTATAAACACTATTTTATCTCCCTTCCTATCTCCAGGAGGAACTATCCAATGTCAACCTCACCAAGTTCCGCAAGATCCAGCACGAGCTGGAGGAAGCTGAGGAGAGAGCTGACATTGCAGAGTCACAGGTCAACAAGCTCCGAGCGAAGAGCCGAGAAATTGGCAAGAAGACAGACAGTGAAGAGTAAATGTCTCAGCGCTGTGAAGTGAGAGAATTGCACAAAATGTGACATTCTATCACTTTGATTTTGTAATCACTGCTTAGTCCTTTAGCCATCTCTAGATAATTAATGCCTAGACAATAAACATTTTAGAGCTTTTCCCATTGAAAAAATGAGAAGTTGAGTGTTGTGTTTTAATCATTACCCTGAATTCTTGTGAGCTTGACATTTTTCCTTGCTTATAGAAACTTATTTATTCCCTTACAATCCTTGCTTCAGGCATTTGCAAAGTGTCTCAGCCACTGTTAAAGTGCTCTAGCCAGACATCCTGCTTCCTTCTCACCTTTTTTCCCCCATCATGGTATTCAGGCACTGGAATTGCCCAGGGAGGTGGTGGAGTCACCATCCCTGGAGGTGTTTCAGAGGTGTCTGGTTGTGGCACTGGAGGATATGGTTTAGGGTTTAGGGGTTCCAGCAGTGACTGGTTAATGGTTGGACTTGATGATCTTAAAGATCTCCTCTAGCCTTGATGATTCTATGGAATTTCATCTAATACTTCCTTAAGGGAGAAAATAATTATTTCTCTCCAACATGATGTAATTATCCCTTAGAACTTTCGCTATAGGAACACAGTAGATTTTAAGTCAAATGTTCTGGCTAAGAATGAGAATTTTTTGCATCTTCTGTTGATCCCATCTAATCATTGACTAGTCTTTTAAAACTTGTGTCTTCACTGCAAGAAGACCTCATTTCAAATTAAACTTCTTCAATCCTTTAGGACACTTTGGAACACTCTGTATAGGACATTTAAACCTAATATGAGATCTGCTTTTAACTTCTGTTCATGAAAGTGATTTGCAAACCAACATTCTCAGGGCAGCACAACCAGCAACATCACATAGTCAGTCAGCCATTGTCTACATTCAGTTCCCAAAACTCTGAATCTTCTAAGCTGGTCAGGCAGCCACTTACCATCTGTGTAGTCTCCAGGGTAATCTGGATAACTTTGCCCAGGTTGGCCTCACCCAAACTGTGGGATGTCCCCATACAGCAGAGAGTCCATGGTCACCTCTGTAAACAAGAATAAATAGGTGTCACTTTCTCTGCCATAATCTAATACTAAGAGGACTTGTCCTTCCACAGTCTGAAGAGATTTGAACCACTGAGATGGGTTATGTTGTATTCCACCTAGAAATATGATGAGAAACCAACTCAACCACTCCTGTTGAAGATGCACTGTTACGGCTTTGGGAATAAAATGGAAAATGTTGACATGGCCTCTGTAGAACAATAGAGAAAATGCTGATCTGTCAAAGGATGACTACACTTTATAGACCCACCAGCACTACTGACTATCCAATATCTAATCTAAACCTACTGTCTGTCATTTTGAAGCCATTCCCCCTTGTCCTGTCACTCCAGGCCCTTGTCCGAAGTCCATTTCCAGCTTTCCTATATGCTCCCTTTAGGCACTGGAAGGGGCTCTAGGGTATCCTTATGCAAGGAAGTGGAGGGGCAGCACAATGGGACACTGCTCAGTGCTGCTTACAGTTTATACAGGAGAAAGAGAAGACAAGAGAAAAAAAAAGAGTAAAAAAGAAAGGCAGATGAGAAAGAGAGAGAGACAGTCAACATACATGGATCCAGCATGGTCTCAGCAGCTTCGAATCCAGGGGTGCAGGCACATGTCTCACGGTGCTTTTATCCGTTCCCTTAGCCCAGGGCCATCCCCAAAGTGAGGTCACATTTGAGTAGCACTTAAGGCAGAGCCACAGAGCTCTCAGCATCCATTTCAGGGCTTACAACGAGGCCATGTGGGCACTGTCACCATCTCATGGGGCAGAACAGAGCCACTTGGTCACTGCCACCGTTTCAGGGCTCACATCAGAGCCATGTGGTCATCACTGCCATTACAGTTGGGACTGGTGGTGACCTTTTATGGCTCTAGGGAATGGGGGTGAACAAGACACAAGAGTATCCAGGAGTTCCTTCAAATTACTTCAGGTGGGAAGACAGGAGAGGGAGTTAAAAAGAGTTAGCACAGGGTCTTCCCTGTTAAATGTGGAAGAAAAGAACAGTATAGAGTTTTCTGTTTGTTTTGAAAACTAGCACATTTCACAAATGCCACTGTTTCCTAAACTCACCCTCCCAGACATCTTCATAGCAAGAGAGTGCTTGAGGGACCTGTCTGCAGTTTGGATGTCTTGGAGAGCTGCTTTGGTCTGGATGACTGTCCAGCCAGTGCTGAGTGACCCTGAGAAGAGCACAGCCCTGGTATCAGCCCAGTGACTGAGCAGCTCTGCATGAGAGTGCTGTCAACACTGCAGGAGAAACGTGGGGCTGGTGTGGGCAGTAGAAGAGCGACAGGGAGAAGCAATCTTGCTGTGCCAGGTCAGTTCTCCACACCATCTTTACTGCCTACTTTGAAACAGCTCAAGCAAAGCTCAGCATTGATGTCTGAGAGGTAGAAAATACTTTAGGAAACACAGAGGAGTCCTTAGCACTAGGCAAGTTCTGCTGACACCCTGGTAATCTTCTCGCAGTACACAGGGAGAGCTGTTTCATAACCCTGGAGCAGGAGAAGGACAGCAAGGGCACAGGGACATGCCTTGGGAGGGGTGTGGGGTGAAGTGAGGAGAGTGAGGACACCTGGCCTGGCCTGCTGAGGCAGTACAGGAGAGCTGTGCTGGGCCCTAACACGACACATATATAAATAGAGCTGCTGAACTGAGCTTCCCCCCAAGCTGCTCCTGGGATTTGCTTCAGATGAAGCCACTTTGGACACTCAGAGACATCCCCAGGGACACTTACGGGCCTGCAGAAGGATTATCAGCCTGTCCTTGTCCAGTATCACTTCTCAGAACAATCTTATGTAACAACACAGCCACAAACTTAGCTTCTTTAAGAAAGGTGATATACCTCCTCACATGGCACTACCACCTGGTTCTCCCACCTATGCACATAGTTTTGATTCTTTACTAGGTTTGTAGAATACAACTCCCCTTTACAAACATTAATTTTACTCAGGATGTTTTGCTTATCACTGTGGCCTCAAATTCTACTCATGATTAGCTTTTACTCTTTTCCCAGTGCAGGTACCAGGTTTGCTGGGCCACAGTTCCTGAAGCACTTTTTTCAAGTCACCATTCTACTAGACAACTTCCAGAACTCCAAAAGATTTCTTTAGTACGAGCTCACATGCCACAGCCAAAGGTTCAGCTGTTCCATCCCCATGCCTTATTGGAAATCTTCTGCAAATGCCCTCTGGTCTTGGCCACTTGCAACTATTCATGTTGGCAACAGAGTGTACAAACCTTTTCATTTAATCAGCTGAAAAATCCTGGCATGGAAGTCAAGCCATTTTTATCCCAACACTGTTGGGTTTTTTTCTCACCCCAAATACGTAACATAATGCACTCTTGTACATGGAGACAGGACAGGTATGAGACCAGATGCAAGTGGGAGCAAACAATCTGTATTATTTCTGCTTCTGCTTTTGCTGCCAGAATGGCCTGGAGAAAAATAAAAGTGATTTGTTGCCTTCACAATGGCAAAGTACAAATGAAGGCCTGGTAATGAATTGTTTTCTGGTTCGGTTGTCTCAGAAAAGGTATAAGGAAGTAGATCTGGAAACATATGGAAACAGCTCGACAGTCCATAGGGAAATGAAGAGTTCTTGTCAGTAACTTGCACAGAATATGGATAACTGTCAACTTTGCAACTGCTAAAACAGCCTGAAGATACAATCCTATCACTGCTTCATGCTGGAAAAAAAACCCCAAAAGATAGGACAACAAATTCAGGCTAGAGATCCTCTTTCCCCCCACATACACAGTATATATCACTGACCATTTTGCAGTGTTCATCTGAAAGACATCTTCAGTGTTCCAGTATCACCACAGAAGCTTTTCTAGGCTGGGGGGAGGTGACAGCTGTGAGAAAAGCTTGCAAATATATTTTTAGAAAGGAATCCCTCAAAGATTATCATTAATTCTATTTGGCCTTGGTGCAGTGTCAAACTCCTGCTCAGCGATACAGAAAATCAGCCTAGAGGATCACACACTTTTAACAGGTTTAGATTACCTTTCTGTTCCCTTTACATAAATGATCTGTGTACTTTCAGTACAGTTTCTTTGCTTCCTATACAGTGGGACTAAATCATAGGCACCATGAACAAAACCCAAAAAAAACAGACAAGGAGAACTGTGCAAATGCACCAAGGACATTCCCCAGGCTGAGCCAACATGAAGTGATGACAACAATGCACCTGCCAATCCATCCCTTTCCAGAGAGGCTCCTGGGCTATTCCACAAAGAGGTGGTTAGACCTCATGGCCTCTAAAGTTGAAATAATTTTCTGACAAGTGTCTCTTCTGCCTTTAAAATAAAGAAATGAGGTAATGATGACAAATCTACTTTGCCACTTCATTTCTTGTATGAAATACTCGAACAGTGAGAGTATTTTCCAAGCTGTGAGAGACCTGAAATCAACTCTTCCTGCTGCTTGAGGAATGCAAGATCCCAAGCTCTCACTCCCATAGCTGTATGGCTCTCAGCAAGCTCACAGCAAGATGTGCAGAGTCCCACGTGGGAACAGATGAACATTCTCAACATTC